CAGATCACCTGCAGGTACGGGCTCACCAGCGCCTGCTGGGCTCCCTGCTGGAGCTGAACTGAAATCATGGGCCCAGCCACAATTCTGTTTCTAAGGACATGAGGGGGGCTTGAGGCTTGTTGCTGCCTGACGAACAGCTGGATTCTTGGTTCACGGCTCAAAGGCATTGACTAAACGTGGGGCTGAAGGAAGCAACGTGGACCACAGTCACTGGGCCACAACGACAGACGAGGCGAGAGTTGTAAGACTACTACGCCGTGAGGCCGACGGAGCACAGAACCCTCCTTCCGGAAGGATGAGTGAGGCCCACGGAGCTCTCGACCAGGGCGCGCTGGAGACAGTGGGAGACACACAGGGAGAGTGCAAACAGTAATTTCGGGGGTGTCTGAAACGTGCCGGCCACTGGAATGCCCCACGGCAGCTTCACACCAGCACTGTGCTCCGGGCTGGTCTCCATTCCCAGTGCAGTGACCTCCAGGGGCGGCGTGTGGGGGTGAACCTGCTCGCACATATGCACCTGTCCCCGGCACGTGCTGGGGTGTGGACGCCCTTGGGGACAAGCTCCGCCATGCCAACAGCGTGTGAGTGCCTTCACCTCCGCGTGGGAGGCACCGCAGGGTCCAGGCCAGGTCCACCAGAAGGAGAGATGCTCACGATAGTCATGGTCTCTGCGTCCTCACCACGGCTCCTCCAGGGTCAGAAGCACTGATGTGGGGAGGAGGGTCCTTCTCTCGAGGAAAGTCACACATCTGACTACCCCTGGGAACAACTTCCCTCCATCACCCACGACGGCTCAGGTCACGGCACCCTCTCTCCCTCCCGGTGCCCTAGACGTGCCAAGTCCAGACCCCAGAGGTCACCTGGGACGCCATCCAAAGTCCCTGCAGTGCTCATCCCCCGCTTACTTGTCCCCGCCGGTGGGCAGGCTCAGCCTCTGCGACACTGCATCACAGCTGGGTCGCACGCCGCATACACACGGCGTCTCCTTGCCAGAGGTCCTGCTACCCTCTGTCCATCGTTCCTAAGTCATGCTTTCCACAGGATCAGGTGCCCCGCCTGCCGTGCTGAGTCCTGCGCACTCGTGCGGATGTCCCCGAGGTCACTCTGTGCTCCCGCGGCATGCACTGCTGCCTGTTGTCAGATAACTTACTCTACCTCAGGGCTCACGCGAGTCTCCCGGGGACGAGCCCCCAGGCAGGGCCCTGTCTGCTGTCTTTGTGGTCCCAGGGCCTGACCACACAGCCAGCACAAACGTTAAACAGACATTTACTAGTTAAGAGAACGCGTGGTTGAACACTGTTTACTGTTTTTACTTCCAAAACGGGTAGGGCGTAGCTTAGAAAAATCAACATCTTAAGGACTCAATCTAAAAAGAAAGCCCAAGCACTGAGAGGTGGGGAGAGGTAACTATCAGAGAACAGAGATCAAGGAAACCAAATGCAACTGAATAAAGACAACAAAAACTATGATCTGAGCTCCCTGGCAGCCAAAGCAAAAAGAGTGTATCTGAGTAAAACATTTCTTGTCCAATAAGAAACAGCACACCAGTTTCTAACAACCAAAGCATTTTCTAGCACTGAATGCTAAAACAAATTTTCACTGTTATATAAACATCAGGGGATGTACAGTGAGCGAAGAACAAAGTTTTAAATGACAGTTTTACTAAAACAAGCTAACAACAAAAAACACTCTCCAGGCCTTTAACTAACCTCATTAAAAATGAAATTCCACGATGATATTGTTAGAGAAAGGGGTGCTGACATAAAGTGGATGCAGAGCTTTCTTATGACCTCACGTGACATAGCGGGAGCACTCACCAAACCCCAGGGATGGAGTGATGGGTGCTCCCCTCCCACACCCGCACCAGCACTGGTGCACTTCTGACCGGCCTGGACCACGAGAACCCAGGACACAGGCACGTGGAGCCACTGCATGCCTCTCCCTCTGCAGGTGACACGAGGCTGCTCGGGGGACGAGCTTGGGGCGTCTGTAGGAGGCTCCGCGTCTGCTCATGTTTCCACCAGTGGGCACCTGAGTCCCCAAGGTCCTGCCAGGCGGTGTGCTGGGGAGATGACTGAGCTGGTAACAGTACTTATTACCTGACCAGCCGGGAGGACTTTCACGGTAAGGTCCTGCGTTATGTAACATCACACAGGGCTGCGTTCCTGGGGGTGCACCAAGACGGTGAGCTGAGCAGTGTTCCCGCCAGAGAAGTGACTCAACCAGTTAGCATTTTCTGTGGAAGAGCTAAGGGTCGCAGTTTACTGGCTCGTTGAGAACAACGTGCAATACCACGTGAGCAAGCACAGAAATGCCGGGTGTCCGAGGCAGGAAGGAGCACAGGAGCACGAAGTTCTTCTCGAAAGCTGTACCAGGGCACTTGTGTGAATCAAACATAGGAGGGGGATCCTGGAGTCCGATAGGACCCGCTTGGTTTGATGCAGCTCCCTTTCCCTACAGCTCCCACTGGCCCACTAACAAACAGTAGGCCTAAGAGAATTCAAGTCTGTATTTGTTACACTCAGAGATTACCCACGGAATGGGAAAGGCCATACGGACAGCAAGCAGCACACCAGCGATACCGGGTCTCCGCGAGTACATGCTTGTGTCCACAGCAAACACACGTGGGCCTGGAACAAACCTAGTGAGGATGGTTCACAAGCCCCAGGTGCATTCACATCAGGGTCCCACACGCGGGCAGTGGGGCCAGTGAGGGGTGACCGGGATGGGGGCCTCCCCAGGGAGGGTAGGTGCAGGATGACCAGTGACCAGGACGGGGGCTCCCCACTGGCTCCCCGGGTGGCCTGGGGACTTGGGTGCTCTGGGCCGCGGCTGCGCCCTGCAGGAGTGCCTGGTGAGTGGGCACAGAACCTGCAGGCCTCAAGCAGCTGGCCTGCTGGCCACACGTGGACACAAAAGCAGGACGGAGTCACCCCTCTTCTCCTCAAGTTTTCTCCAAGCTACTATGTCAGTGACTTACTGGTCCTGCGTATTCACAGTGGAAGTCAATGGCCAGAACTGGTTCTTGGAAAAACAGAAACAATTTGACTTTTTCTTCTTTTCCAACGTCAGTGCTCATGTTCTCTTTGCTTAAAATTGCAAACAGGAAGATTCAGGACTCCTCCTCCCAGCTTCCTGGTCTGCACGCCTCCCACCTGGCGTGTGCTCAGGCTGCACACCCACTGCGCGGAGCTGGGCGCTACGGCCTCTCTGAACACTCGTTCATTCTGGAGACCACTGGTAAGAGGCCTGGGTGAACATTCCTCCAACTTTATCCCCTCCAGCGCCCTGCAGCAGCCCACTTCCTGGGCAGACAATGGGAAGAAAACATTTGATAAACAGTAAACAAAGCAGATGGAAACAGAGATGGGTTCCAAGTGTTGAAAAGGGAAAGATACGGACTTCCCAGCCTCGATCTGGTGAGTATGTTATTCGAAGCTCTTCTGGAAAAGTGGGCAGCGTTTTCAGCAGCACTGACTTAGGCAACCGAGCTCACAGCGCCTCCAGAAAGAATCGCCTCCTCAAGCCCAGTCACAGTCCCTGGCTGGTGAGGAGCCCCCGACTCCGCCTGCTGTGGAGAGACCCCAGTGGCAGACGGCCGCTCAGGGTCCTGAGTCAGAGCAGACGGAGCAAGGTGCGCAAGACTGAGCTCAGGGAGGGGCCTGCCCACGCTCTCCTCGGAGGGTGAGGGGTGGGGGCGCAAGTCCCATCAGCCCCCATCTCCACCACGCCCCTCCCCGATCACGGCGTCGGGGAAAAGGAAGACCCATGCCCACAACAAGTAACAGAGGAAGAGACAATTCACAGAAAGATTCTGCCTCACAAGTTGCAGACATGGATCCTGTACTAACGTTGCAGTCAATGCTGTCCAACTTACTAGTGAATTTGCCAGGTTACCGTGGAATTCCAGTAGGCAGCCCCCCCGGTCTTGCCTGTTTTGCTCTCAGCCATGGGCCACCGTCAGGCCGGCTGCCAGCTGCCTGTGTGTGGGGGCAGCTTCCGGCCGGGACGCACTTGCCCAGTTGTGCCAACACCCCTCCACGTCCTGTGAGGACATCACCCCAGCTCAGAACCTGCAGTCTCAGGACACACTTCACGCTGACGACACGGGGGTCCAGGACGCAGCCGGGCCCTCACTGGCCTTGCCAGCACAGCTAACCGTGCACAGCTGCGGGTGAGCGGAATTGTGTCCAGTGGCACGGGCATGAGTCCCGCACGTTTTGTATCGAGTATGCGAGGTACATGTGAAGTATGTTCACCAAAGTCACTGATCTTCATTAGAACGTAGTTTTCTAATTAAATAATCTATTCATCCAATAATTACATTCCAAAGATTTTCAACAGGGCTTGAAAAGATAACTACATTTTCCCTTAGCTACCCCATTTTTGGTTTTATGGTTTCTGATCCTTTAACTAGGGACTCAGGAAGATCGATGTACAAGGAAACCACATTTTCTTGATGTTCAGATTAATTAAGGTTTAGAGTATAGAGTTCTTCAGTTTATACTCGTTAGAAAATCATCTGGGTAAAATTTTTATTGGGCAATTCCAGATTCCTCTTTACTTTGACTAATGTGATACCAGCACATGCACCAAAGCAGGCACCTCACTTCCCTTCATCCACAGGACATTCCAATACAAAAGCAAAACATTCAGTTCTTCCATAAAAGAGATGCAAAAGAAGTTATTTCCATAATTATAAAATTGATATACAATCTCAGAAATTCTAAAATTTGGAAAATCAAGAAAAAAGTTCTACTTAAGTCAAAACAAGTACCATTAACATAGTGCTGTATTTAATAGTAAACTTCTCCTAACCTACTGACGAATACGCCCCGGCCCCATTCCGGCTGAGTCTCCTCCCACCCGAGTCTGTCTCCCTGTCATTTTTAATGATGGCAAGACACGTTCGGCCCATCCTGTGGCCGTCCGCGGACATGCTCACCTGACCCTCTCACTGTAAGTCTATAAAAGTGGGACACTGTGGAATCACGCCTCACCTGAGAGCTGGCGCCCTCCTCCTGCATCATCGCTGCCGGAGGTGTCCTCGGAGGCCGGGCTGCCCTGCGGCTCTGGCAGAGCGGGGACGTACCCCTCAGGAGGCAAACTCGCCGTGTAGAACCGCCTTCGAGGTGGGGCCTTGGTGTCCTCAGCTGCAGGAGACAAAGGGACGGTGAACACGGCATCACGTCACCAGACATTTGCTGGCCCTGGCACCCTTCCCCAACCTCATGACCAAAGACTGAGACCCAACAGCTCGTGAAACGCAGGAGCTCTGGAAGCCAAGGCCTTGTCAGAGGGCACCAGCCCTATATCCAGGCAGGAGAAAGGAACGACCTGTGATTATTTAGCCTCTGGATTTTTATAAAATGAGAGAAAAATATAACTCATGAGAAGGAAGCAGAAAAAAGAATATTCCACAAGCATACGTCTCATCATTCCCATGAGAATCTCTTAACGTTTTAGTACACAATCTGGAACTTCTTCTCCATGTGTGCTAACAATGCGCATACATTGTGTACATACACACACATCTTAATGGGATCATGCTACCTACTTTTGTTATTATACATTTGTATATCATATATAATATCATTCAAAAGTTAACACAACATGACAGAATAATATCTTAAGATACATTTACATCTACGTGGTCTTTTAATGGTTACATAATATTCCATGTCTCCAGCAAATTATAATTTAAATATAATTTAACCATTGTCCTAAATTCCACACATGGAGGTTGATTCTAAATTTCCACTATCACAAACAGCTGCTGACTGTCCTTGTCATACATAACTTTGCACAGCTGACCACTGAGTTCCTTGCAGAAATCCCTGCAAACAGGACTGTCCGAAGGGTAAGCACCTTTTGCTGGGTTCTGAGACGCATGGTCCAGAAAGGCAACTACAGGGTGGCTGGTTTCTCCCACGCTCTTTCCAACGCTGGGTGGCAGAAACCTTTAACTCACGCACAGCTGACACACACAGGTGCGTTAGTTTCACGCCACATACTGACTGGACAATTCCACCTGTCCTGCAGTGTTCCTGTGAGCAGTGCAGTCACCATCTGGCCCCACACACGGGATGACAACGTTCCGGACTCTGTTCCCCAGGCTGCACTTCCAAACCTGAGACGGGACCACACACAGAAATAAACTCTAAATGGATCAAAGACCTAGATGTGAGACCTGAGACCACAGAACTCCTAGAAGGGAGCACAGGCTGTGATCTTTTTTTGATTCCCGCCTCAGCAATATCTTTCTGGAACTTTCTTCTCAGACAAGGAAAACAGAAGCAAAAATAAACTAGTGGGCAAAGGAACCGGCCAATGATGAGGCAGCCTAGGGAAGGGGCGATGTTCGTAAACGACCTCTCCGTCTTTTTAATCGTCATATTTCCATTGAAAATACGGTAAAGCAATCTTGTATATGACAAACACAAGTGGATATCGCCATTAATCTTTCACAGAAAAACTGACATTTTATTTAAAAAAAAAAAAACAAGGTTTGAAAGAAATCACTAATACATATGACATATAATGTAAAAACCTTGAAACACTCTCCAATTCTTCCACCATCAATGTATTTCACTTTCTTGGAGCTAAGATACAAGAATTCAGTTCTTAGATTAATTTACTTCATAGCTGATGAATTACTATGTCATTCCACTGGAATCAGGGGCAGAGTGGGACATGGCTTCCAAGGAGACCACCCCAGACATCAACGTTTATCCTTTCCGCAGAGGATTTCTGGAAGCTTTCAGTCCACTAAAGTGTCAGTGATGAGAAGGTTAAAGAGAACTTGGAAATGTCACTGTTCATTTGATTATTCAGGTGCACATATGGGGAAGTGAAACACGATCTGGGTCACCAGAGGCAGCTGAGATGCATCTCCATCCAGTGCAGTGCTCCCGGGAAGCGGAGAAACAGCTCTCATTCATCCGGACAGCACACCCGTGGCTCCTAAGGCTGAGCCTTTGAACTGTAAATGACCTGACAGCTTCCAGCTCCGGTTCTCCCCACTTTCTTCTGGAGAAAAATGGTTTGTTGTGATGACATCTATCTACCCTTCCCCAGTCAGATGTTCATGGCTCAGGGACGAGCAACTAGGCTTTGCTGAGCAGCCGTACACACAGGCCTCTGTGCCCCCAACCTTCATCCGGCATGGGGGCCCCAAGCCTCACCGGACTCCACGCCCCCCCCGCCCTCCACCCCACACTCACTGGGTGTGTGTGGGGACAGCGCGGGGACAGCGTCCCAGCTGGAGAGAACTCTGGGGGACCGGCACGGCTCAGGTAAAGCCAGTGGAAGTCACCACTATGAGCTTGGTTGTCCACTTTGTTTAGCTCCCCCCAACCTGGAGCGGCTCCCATGCAGGTTCCTGAGCTCACTGCGTGCTGCCTCCGAGCAGCCGCCGTGCCACGGGACACGGACAGACTGCAGTGCCTTTTCCACCCGGGGGTCACCCCAAGGTGGGGCACAGAGCTGGGAAGGGAGTGAGCACAGGACGCGGGAGTGGCTGGCTGGAGGAGAGGCCCGGGTGCGAACGGCTCAGAGCCCATACGAGCCGTGGCTGCGTCCTGCGCCCGAGGAGCCGCACAGATGTGCGCAGTGACAGGAGAACGTGGCCGGGGCGGGAGCGCCGATGCTCAGGCGTCCTACCCCCTCAGCCTGTCCTGAACAGGGATGCGCCTCAAGGGGCCTGCCCTACTTGATCTCTCTGCTTCCTCATGATGCCGCAGCAGTCGAGTAAGCCAGTTTTAACAAAACTGATTCTGGTTTCCGATTCAGCCTCTTAAAAAGAACCACAACCACCAGAAGCTTTTAAAACATTCAAGTAAATGCTGTTGTTGAGGAAGAGAGAAGTTTCTCGTGGCACCATCACTCACCCCCCCCCCCCAAACTGGGTTAATTTGTTCCTCTGTTAGGAATGCGGTGTGCTCACCAAACCCCCTCCCATGGCTAGCTATTCCGATTTTGGACTCTCAGCTCCCATGGAAGTAATTGGATGCAGCTCTGCCTTCCTGCCTCTTGGACAATGCACGAAATTTGGCGCAGACTCTGGATCACATGGCCCGGCCAGCCTAGAGCCCTCCTACCACCTGCAAGTCCGGGAGGTGACACCTGGTCCGCCCCACTCTGGGGAAGCCCAGCACTGGGTCTGGGCTCTTCTCCTTTGCCCTTTGTCATTCCAGACGCGAAATTCAGCACCTTCTTCTACAAATTGTCCGCTCATCCCAAGTACCTCAAGAGCCGAGTAATTAAAAGAAAACAAAACACAACCTTTTTTTTTTTTTTAAAGGACTTTACATTTTTAGAGCAGTTCTAGGTTCAGAGCAAAATGGAGAGAAAGCTACAGAGATTTCTCATATGCCTCCCCCCACATGCACAGTGTCCCCCCACCACCAGCATCCCCCCGGGATGGTGCATTTGTCACCACCGATGAGCCTGCGTGGACACGTCATCATCCCCCAGAGTCCACAGTCTACATCAGGGTCACTGTTGGTGGTGCACACTCTGTGGTTTGCACAAATGTGTGATGACACGTCCCCACCCTGACAGGGTCCCCCAGAGTGGTCTCACTGCCCTGAACCCTCCGTGCTCGGCCCGCTCCCCCTCCTTCCCCCACAGCCCTGCGCCCGCTCCCCCTCCCTCCCCTTTCCCCTGGCAGCCACTCCTCTCTTGACTGTGTCCCTCATTTTGCCTTTTCCAGAAGGTCCCAGAATTGGGATCCTGCGGGGGGTAGACTGCAGAGTAGCTTCTCTCAGTAATCTGCACTTACGACTCCTCATGTTTCTCACGGCTCATTTCCTTTCTATACTGAATACTACCCCACTGTCTGGAGGGACCAGTCTATGCGTCCATCACCTACTGCAGGACAACTTGGTGGCCTCTGAGTTTTGGCAGTTTTACAAACACAGCTGCTGCAAACACCTGTTTCAGCTTTCATGTGCACAACAGCTGGGTCATTCCCATGGGGTTTTCAGGGGGGATGAGGGGTCAGATCATTCTCTGCACAATCTTTGCCATCTTGGCCTCCCTGGGCCCCTCCTCCTGTACCTCAAACAGAGTTCTTTTATCCCTGATGGAAGTCTCCGGGCCACCAATACCCCATGCAACTCAAGCAGGCTTTCCTGTTAGGAGGTAAGGAAAATACATCAGCCAAGTAAAAAGAACTTCCTCTGAGAAGCAGTCAGATTCAGGGATGTGCTGATGGTTGGTACGTATATGGAGTGGAGATGGGAGACAAGTTGTGGGCTTCCATGCTTACTGAGACGGGGGGACAGGGCCATGGGAGGCACAGCAGGAACAGAGCCCTGCGTCTGGGGAGTGACAAAGGTGGAGAGAAGTCGGCCTGGAAGCCGTAACTGTCTACAAACACAGAAGCTGTGAGACTGGGTGAAATCACCTGGGGCACGCAGTGGACAAGACAAGTCAGAGTGAGCGTGGGGCGCTCCACCACCCAGAGGTTGTATATATGCGTCTCTTTAACATGCACGGGGGAGTTAGGACATGTAAGGGTGGAGGGGCTGCGTACATGCTCCAAACTCCTCCAGAAAGGCTGTGCTGAATGACGTTTGTACCAGGTTATGAGAACTCATTTTCCTGAATTCTCAAGGACCATGTGGCGCGTACACTTTGAAAATGCTGTCTACCTGGTAGGCAAAGAGCAGCATCTCATGGTCACATTTACCATGGGTGCCATTACCAGGGAGGGTCCCTCTCTGGTCATGTGTACCGGGCACAAGTGCTCCATGCAGTCCTAAATGTCAGCTCAAAAACTCCCTGCCATTACATTAATCTAGGCTGTGGCTACAGTTAACAGGAAATAGGTTATTCTCAGGGGAAAAAAATAGAAAATATCTCCGACCTGCCTGGGGTAACTGGCAAAATGCTATGGAGGGAGGCAGGGCTGACTGGACAGCGGACACGGCACCCATTCCTGTCCTAGCCGCAAGTTTTCCTGAAGCTTGACGTTTTAAGAAATCGGATCTATGTTGCAGAGGAAAAGATGCCCCCACGTGCACTCACCGCAGACCCACACTGCGTGCGCAGGCACGCACACCCAGCAACCATGCTGTGACCGCACCCACGCACACCGAGCACCCACGCTGCGAGTGCACCCACGCACACCCCGCACCCACGCTGCGAG